TTGTGGGCCTGGGGCTAACTCACTGAAGGTCTTCTCCAGCTCCTCGCAGCGCCGGACATCTGCCACAAAGCGTCTCTGGAAGGCGCTCACTGAGGCGTTGAGCTGCAGTTGCCGCAGGGAGGGGTCAGTGTCCCAGGGAGGGCGCCAGGGAGGTGTTCACCCTGGGGCTCGGGCCTTAGCCGCCTGGTCCAACACGGTGCTGAGCACACTGCGAGCCCCCAGACACCCGAGCGGAGCAGACCGGAGCCTAGAGTGCCCTGGGAGGGTGTGAGGAGAGCCAAGGAGACCTGGCCGGACCCAGGTCGGGGCAGGGGGCCTCAGCCGTGGAGGCCGCACAGAGCAGAAAGTCTGCGGCAGGGACTGCTGGGTTCACGTGGCCGGGCACTGCGGTGGGAGGCCGCCCCCCACCCGGACTATATTCCAGGCGCCCACCGGGGAAGCCCCCCGCCGCCCCCGCCCCCACTCACGTCTCTGAACTCCACGAGGCCCAGCTCGCCGAGCTGGCTCACGCAGCTGTAGGCGGCTGCTGTGGGCAGGAACAGCTGGACCAGCGCCACCTCCTCGCCACGGAACATGGAGCCCATGGTCCTGCGGGGCGGGCCACAGACAATTCCCAACCAAGTTGGTGTCCCGCACACCTCAGCTCATGGAATCCTGGAAGGTAAAGCTACCAGCCCTGTCTGACAGATGGGGAAACTGAGGCCCAGGAAGGCGCGATGGACGGGGTGCTGTGGTCACACAGGGCGCAGGTAAGCAGGGCGGCTGGGAGTGGAGCCCAGACTGGCTGGCCCCCTCAGCCCAGCTAGGTCCACCCTCCAGCTCTCTCCCCGCTCGCTCGGCCCCCACCCTGGTGGCCATGGCGGGTGACACTGGCACTGCCCCCACCTTTGCTCCCCCTGCCCCTGTCTCTGGCCTGCCCTCACCCTCACCCCGCTCGCCCCAGGTCCAGGGCTGCCTCCAGCGAGTGGGGATCGTCCTCAGAGGCCGCTGGGGCCCTCCCACCCCGCTGTGGGGGCGCCGCAGAGGGGAGACCTTCTCTGGGGGCCACCTGGCTGCAGGGGCCTGCCGTGGGGGCCGCTCAGCCTTCCAGGTGTCGAAACCACGAAAGTGAAACTGTAAAGGGCGGGAAGGCCCGGCTTGTTGCTCAACTGGTGGGGGAAGGCCGGGGTGGCCTCCAGTGGCCACAGACGTCCCTGCCTGCCAGGGCCCCTTTGTGCAACCCTTAGCTCTTAAATTAGGGGGGAGGGGACAGCCAGGGCGAGGGCCCCGCTGAGAGGGGAGCATTTGGCACCAGAGTGCCCCGCCTGCTGTCTGGGCTGGCCAGGGCCTGCCTGGCTGGCCACTTCCTCCCCTGGCCACTTCCTCCCCTGGGTCCGGTTTACCTAACTCTAAAGAGGGAACCGCAGCCTGTCCCCAGCCTGGGAAAGGGGAGAAGGCTGAGGCAGCCCGAGGCTGCAGGAGGGCAGGCCCTGGACAGGGAAGGTGGGCAGCGGGTGCTGGGTTCTATCACCCAGGGACAGGGTCCCACCCAGGGCAGAGGGCCAGGGATCAAGGCTTGGGCCCCTGCCCAGGCTGTGACTGGCTGTGTGAGCTCAGACAAGTCTCTTGCCCTCTCTGGGCCTCTACTTCCTCTTTGGGTGAATGAGACTTGGCCACCCATGCCACAGACAGAATCTGGGTGGGGAGGTGACAAAAATAGCCAGAGCCCCCAGATACTCCGTTCCTCCACTGCCTCACACAGGGGTCCCCAGAAGCAAGGCCAGCAGGAGGGGTACTGGAGCCCTGTTGTACAGGTGGCTCAGTGGATACTTGCAGAGGTGAAGCGCAAGGTCACGTGGCCAGGGCTGCAGGTGTGGAAGTCCCAGCACACAGTAGGTGCTCGGAGGAGGGCTGTTCTGACCTGGGCAGCCTGCGCCGCTGCGCAGCCAAAGTAGGAGCCGTGGGGAGGGGGCTCCGGGGACTCAGGGGGGAGCAGCCCTGCGCAACTCCAGCTTGGTACCCTCACGGAGCCATCCGGGTCCTGCCTCGCGGTTGGCTCCCTCTGGCCTGGGCACTTTCCCTGGCTGTGACAACCTGGGGTGGGCCTGGCTGTGTGTGGGGCTGCTCAGACTCCTTTCCTGGCATTCCAGGGCCCCACTGGCTCACCCCCACCCTGGGCCTACATCCTGCAGCCTTCAGGGTCCAGACTCGTCCACCCCTCACCCTGTGCCCCCTCTGGGTCCCTCAGGGGCTGGAGGCTCCTGCTCTAGGAACCCCCCAGATCTCTCCTCTGCGCCCCTCTTCCCACCCCGGTGATGAGGGGCCTGGGAGTGGGTCTGCGGCCCTTATTACAGACGAGTGGGCTCTAGTGTCTGGATGACCCGGCTCCTCTCTGGCTCTGCCACTTCCTAGTTAGGCCTTAGTTTCCTCATCTGTAGAACGGGTCCGTCCCTCCCAGGAAGATACGGCAGGGAAAACTCTGAGCGCCCCAGGCCGGGCAGAGTTGGGTACAGTAGTTGCCGGCGGCTAACGCCTCACCCTCCTCCTCCTCCTCCTCCTCCTCCTCCGCCCCACAAGCCTCGGCCCTGGGCGTCCTCTGTGGCCCCCAGCAAGGCCTGGCGCCCGGGGGTGACGAACCGCGCTGCATCCACTAATCCCCGCGGTGGGGCGCCAGGGCGCCCTCCTCGGGGCAGGGGGCGGCGGGGGCGGCAGGCAGAGCTGGGACCCCGCGGACCGCGGCGGGGCACTCACCCTGGGCTGCGCGCCGCCGCTCGGCTCTTCACTGCCCCGCTCGCCGCGGGCCGGGCGGGACTCGGCACTGCGCTCCCGCCTCTGCCGGCGGGCGGGGCCGGAGGGGCGGGGCCAGCGACGCCCCGCCCCCTGTCGACGCCCCGCCCTGAGGTCCCGGGAGCCCGCGTGGAGGCCCGGCAGGCTGTGACCTCGCGGAGTCGTCCTCCACGGGCGGCTGGGACACCCTTCCCGGCCGTGGGGGCGTAATCTTGGCGACCGGCGCCAACCGGGCGTGTCTACGCGACCGGGATTCGGGAGAGGCGCCGAGCTCAGGCCTAGCTGCGGGCTAGGGGATGGGACCCGCGTCCCCTCTCACCTAGAGGGCTGGCTGGGTCTGCGTCTGAGGGGACCCCGATACACTCAGGCTAATGGCCGTGGGCCAGGGCCCCCCAAGACCCGCGTCTGCCCAGCACGCTTCCCCACCCCCAGAGTCCCCTCCGCCTGGGTGAGGCGCGCAGTGACTCCACCGCGTCCTGCTCCGACCCCAGGATGGTGCTGTAGGCTCTTGGGTGGGTGGCGGCCCTTCCTCCGTGGCAGCTGGGCATTAGGGCCAGGCCATGTTGTATGGTCCTGCTGCGGCTGGGAAGCGCCCTGGGAGCACAGAGCCCAGCTATTGGCCAGGGCTCCACCGCAGCTGGGCCACCACCTTGCTCCCCCTGCTGCACCAGGTCCCAGTGCCTGGAAGCCGGGGCTGACGACTGCCCAGCTGCCTGCATTTTGGACAGGCCTGGACCTTACCTGCTGGGGACGAGAAGGACAGGGGGCCCCTGAGCTCTGGTGATCCTTAAACCCCACTTAGTGAGCAAAGGCCTGTGAGGGGTGGGCAAATGAAGTCCCAGAGCTGGGCCTGGAAACTGAGTCATAGCCAAGGTCAGCTTCCTCAGAAAGTTGGGGGACTCATTTTGGGTGCCACAGTCTGCTGTGATGGGGGTGGTGGGGGGGCCGTGGGACTTGATCCGACCACACAGCGCCAGAGGGGCCTCAGCAGAACAATGCCTGGGACACCTCCGTATGGGCAAGAGCCAAGTCGCACGTGGACACTTTCTGACCGTGCTGAACAGGTGTTCTCTTGTGTGGGTACAGACCGGCCCCGTGCCAGCTATCTGCGGCAATTATGTCCAGGAAAAGCTAAACTCAAGGCAACAGGATTTCTGAGCCCGCTTCTTGGGCCTGCTTTTGTTTTTAGAAACACTCTTCTCTGCCCAGCTCTAGTCTGTGGGGGCCCCCAAGCCTTGGCCAGAGGAGGGGGAGGAGCCCACACAAAGGCCTGGGCCACTTCCACATCAGACTGCAAGGCCTGGCCTAGGAAGCAGGCCCAGGTGTCAGCAGGTGATCCGAGGAAAGGGACTCCCTGGGATTGGGCTGGGGAAAGGCTGGGTTTCTTTGCTGCAGGCCTTCTCAGAGCCTTGAACGTCTAACATGGAGTGTCTGCCCAAGAGAAGTCACAGGGGCGCTTCCTGCACTCACTGTTGTGCACAACACCCTCCCCTTCTTTCCAAGAAGCATCTCGGGAAGAGTGGTGTCCTGCAAAGAGCACTTTTGGAAATGAAGGGGGAGGAGGACTCAAGGTCTCTGACTCACGCTGGCTTGTCCTCTGGACAGTGATCCCGAGCAAGTCACCTCGCCTGGCTAGGACATTTCCTCACGCCGAGAGTGACGCGCTCGCGATCTTTTCAGTGGCTCCCGCCAAGTTCCAGGGGGCTGTTTTTGACTATTACAGGACTTGTGTCCCCAGAATCACACCACTTTGTGGGGACAGCAAAGCAGGAAGTCTCGAGCCGCAGGAGCCGGGTCGGCAGCCTGGGCAGGGGAAGTTGTGGCTGGAGGCAAGGCCAGCTCAGGGCCAGCAGGGCCTGTGTCACCCCCTCATGACGGTCATCCCCACAGCAAGCTTCCTCCTACCCCGACAAGGACGCTTTGGCCTTCTGAGTTTCTGCCACCTGATGCTCTTCAGCCTGAGGCCTGGGGAGGCTCCAAGTCCTAAGGGTCTTAGTTGTGGGGGCCCTCAGGACAGAGCAGGCCCAGGCCCCCCACAAGACACCAGGATCATGGGAACAGCCGGCCTTCGGTGACCCTGCACTGCGTGCCTTGGGGAAGATGCGTGGGAGACAGGGGTGCTGGGGCCGTGGCCCAGCCTTGGGGAAGCCCGATGGGTCCCCTGGAGCCACAGAGGCAGCCTGAGGATGGCCCCACCCCCTCCCTGGTGGCTGGATTCAAGACAGGAGGCCACGGTGGGGTTGGAGCGGTTTTACTGGGCAGCAGGGGCTGCGGGCAGAGCCAGGCAGGCGGGGGCGTCACCGGTACAGGTAGTCGGCCTGGATGTTGGCGGCGATCTCAGCCTCCCACTTGTCCCCGTTGTTGAGCAGCTTCTCCTTGTTGTACAGCAGCTCCTCATGCGTCTCGGTGGAGAACTCAAAGTTGGGGCCCTGCAGGTGGGGTAGAGGGATGGTGGTGTCAGGCCCCTCCCAGGAGCGCCAGCACTCTGAGTCCCCCATCCTGGGGCCCGCTCACCTCCACGATGGCGTCCACAGGGCAGGCCTCCTGGCAGAAGCCACAGTAGATGCACTTGGTCATGTCGATGTCGTAGCGTGTGGTACGGCGGCTGCCATCAGCCCTCGGCTCGGCCTCGATGGTGATGGCCTGGGAGAAGGGGACACCGGGCACTGCCACACTGACCAGCATGTCCGAGCCCCTGGGTCTACCCCTACCCCTACTTCCGTGTCTGCACGGAACCCCTCACCTCTCAGATGCCTTCCTGACACGCCCAGAAGCCACCCCTCACTTCTCCACCCAGGAACAGATTCCCCTCGAGGGGCGGCCTGTCACCTGCCTTGCTCAGTGCAGCACCCGCAGCCCTAGGGGCCTCGCTCTGCAGTAAGCGCTAGATTACAGGCACACTTTGTCTTACTGCGCTTTGCAAATAATGTTTTCCCCCCATAAATTGAAGTTTCATGGCAACCCTGCTTCAAGTATGAGCTCACTTCATTTCTCTGGGTCAGTACTTTTTAGCAATAAAGTGGTTTTTTTTGTTGTTTTTGAGACAGAGTCTCACTCCGTTGCCCGGGCTAGAGTACCGTGGCGTCAGCCTAGCTCACGGCAACCTCCAACTCCTGGGCTCAAGCGATCCTTCTGCCTCAGCCTCTCGAGTAGCTGGGACTACAGGAATGCCCACCATGCCCAGCTCATTTTTTCTATATATTTTTAGTTGGCCAATTAGTTTCTTTCTATTTATAGTAGAGACAGGGTCTCTCTCTTGCTCAGGCTGGTTTTGAACTCCTGACCTCAAGCAATCAGCCCACTTCGGCCTCCCAGAGCACTAGGATTACAGGCGTGAGCCACCTCGCCCGGCCTGTTTTGTTTTCTAAGAGAGAGGGTCTTGCTCTGTTGCCCCGGCTGGAGTGCAGTGGCATCATCATAGCTCACTGCAGCCTTGAACTCCTGAGCTCAAGCGATGCTCCTGCCTCAGCCTAAGTAGCGGGGACTACAGGCATGAGTCACCATGCCTGGCTAATAAAGTATTTAAGTATTTTTTAATTAAGGTGTGTACGTTATTTTCTCAGACATAATGCTACTGCATACTTAATAGGCTGCAGTATAGCATAAACCTAACTTTTATATGCACTGGGAAAATGTGTGATTCTTTATTGATGGTCTGGAACTGGACCCACATTTCCAGAATGTCTGTACTGTTTGTTGTATGTTGAACAACTCTCTGACTTAAGTCTACTTATCCTCACTTGACGGATGAGAAACCTGAGGTTCAGAGAGGTTAAGGGGCTTCCCAAAGCAAAGTGAGGGACAGAGCCCAAACTCAAAGGCATGTCCTTAACTCAGTTCCTGAGTGCAGCCTCGTGCCACCTGGAGGAAGGGCTGAGCTGGGCCTCCCACAGCTGAGAGGACCTTCGAAGGTGCTTGGCAATGACCCTCATACTCCCCTGCCCCACGAGCATAATGCCCACTAAGCACAGTGATCTTTGGCTGGTAGCCTCATCTTTTTGTGCCCATAAAAGAGGGGATAACAATCTCTACGTCCTAGGGTTGTTGTAAAGATTACATGAGATAATATGAGTAATGAGCTTGGCATGGTGCCTAGTCCGTCTGCAGACAGCACTATCTGGAAGCCACGACTATCATCGTTGCTGCTGTCTGGGGACTCTTTTATGTGTTTGTGGTGTGTGGTTGGAGTGGAGACATCAAGGCCATAGCTCATGGCCCGGAGAACCCAGGAATGGTCCAGGAGACAAGCTAGGTCTTAGACAGGAGCCACCCAAGTCACAGAACACTGGGGGGTGGGACAGTGAGTAACGGCCGTGCCTGCTGAGGGTCGTGCTAGGCACACCCAGGGGTCTGGGCCACAGCCCTAATCACATCTCTCTGTTTCTGCACTAACAGGCCCAACTCCAGTGGGACAAGATCCACCAATAGAACCAAAACCTCCAAGGAGCAGCAACCAGGGGTAGGGAGGTCTCAATTGTGGCATTGTGTCATTGGGTTCAGCCTGCAATAGGCACACAGACAGGGCTCCTGAAACCAGTGCTGTGTCCGGGGAAAATGGACAGCTTCACGTGCCACCCCGTGGCTCACAGGCCCCGGTCTCACACCCCTGACCAAACACCAAGGGGGATCCCACGTGGGTCCCACACCTGCTCAGGCTAGAAACTTCACTCGGCAGACTCGCTCATTCAGCATGCTCTGGGATAAGGCCTCGCTGCTCCCACTTATGGGGCGATGTGGCCAAGAGAGGGAAAGGGACTTTCTTGGCAACACACATCAAGCAGGGGCAGGATTCGGGCCCAGGGCACCTAGCCTCCCTCCTGCAGGGGCAGGCGCAGGGGCCGGGCAGCAGCCAGGGGCTCACCTGGGCGGGGCAGATGGCCTCACAGAGCTTGCAGGCGATGCAGCGCTCCTCTCCAGATGGGTAACGGCGCAGCGCGTGCTCCCCGCGGAAGCGCGGGCTCAGCGGGCCCTTCTCAAAGGGGTAGTTGATGGTGGCCGGCTCCCGGAACAGGTAGCTCAGGGTCATGCCCAGGCCTGTGGGCAGCATAGGCATGGTGGGCGGGGGGTACCTCCCCCTACACCTCTGTGATTACCCTGCCTGCCCTGTCCCCTCCCCCCAGGACCCACCTCGGAAGAGCTCAGTCCACAGCAGGGTCCGGGCTGCCCGGTCGGTCACTGACCTCATGTCCATCTCAGACTCTTGCATGTTCACGAACTCTGCAAGGTGGGCAGAGAGGGATGGCAGGAGGCCTCACACACACCTTTCCTCCCTCAGGAGTTCAGCTCAGGGAGATGTGGCCTGGCCCTCACTTCCGGGTGAGAGAGTTGGGTTCCCCAGGGGACTCTTCATTCACCAAACCTTTCCCAGCCTTAGCAAGGGCCTGTGAGGCTGCCTCCAGCCCTGGCCAGTCCGTGCCCACTTCTCCCTGTGCTTGGGCGGCCATTTGAGCAGGGCTTGAAAGGGGAGTCAAGGAGTGGGTAAGGGGCCTGGCATGGGGCTACAACCCCCTCCCCATCATGGGGGAGGCAGTGAGATCACACCTGCCAACCCCTGCAATGATGGGTTCTGCACCCAGGAGCCATAGTCAATCTCTCTTTTTTTTGAGACAGAGTCTTACTCTGTTGCCCCAAGTAGAGTGCAGTGACATCATCATAGCTCACTCAACCTCAAACTCCTAGACTCAAGCAATCCTCCTGCCTCAGTCTCCCGAGTAGCTGGGACCACGGTGTGCACAATGCCTGGTTAATTTTTCTATTTTTAGTAGAAACATGGTCTCGCTCTTGCTCAGAGCTGGTCTCAAACTCCTGAGCTCCAGCAATTCTCCTTCCTTGGCCTCCCAGAGTGCTAGGATTACAGGCGTGAGCCACCACGCCCGGCCTATCAATCTCGTCATCATCCTCATTTTAAGAGTGGAAACTTGGCCAGGCGCGGTGGCTCACGCCTGTAATCCTAGCACTCTGGGAGGCTGAGGCGGGTGGATTGCTTGAGGTCAGGAGTTCGAAACCAGCCTGAGCAAGAGCGAGATGCCGTCTCTATATATATAATAAAAAAAAGAGTGGAAACTGAGGCTAAGAGAAGGGAGTCCTGACAAAGCCAGGACTAGAACCCAGGTCTCCTCCCCCACCTCTGGCAGGACCACAATCAGAAATGCCTGTACTCACTATAGGTGGCTGCCACTGCACTACTGTGGAGGCTCCGGCCACTGGGATGTCCTGCAAGGAGAGAATGACACTCTGTGGCCATGACCTCATGCCAGGAGACTGAGCTCCCCCACCCCCAGGAAAAGCTCCCTTGGTCCTACCTGCATTTGCGGCTTGGGCCAGGGCCCGCAGTAGCATGGGCGTGGTCAGGCAGCGCATCTGGGGGCATAAAAAGGGAGGGAGGAACATAATGCTGAAAACCTGCAGACATTAGTAATACCAAAAAACCCCACAATGTGACACCTAAAACCTTATTTGTTTTCCTTCTTAGTAAGAGTATCCAGGACTTGAGCAGGGCTTGAAAGGGGAGTCAAGGGGTGGGTAAGGGGCTTGGCATGGGGGCTGGTGAAGAGAGCTGGTGTGTTCAGAAAAAGAGCTGTGGCAGTTCTCAGTCTTTTAAAGACATCCACGGTTACAATTTATTTTTATGATACTGCTTTATTAATTGAATAAACATTTGGTTGTATTCTGTGGTACAGCCTGAGCTGTCCAGTTTAAGCCTGGTCTCTAAACCCTGTCTTCGATGAAAGCTATAACTAATAAAGACTTATTTTAACCAACCCCCTGCCCCAGAAAAAGAAAAGGGAAGGAGGCTGGTGTGCATCTAAGACCTGCCCCATCCAGGAACTCTGGCACTGCAGGAGCCTTGAGCCTAGACTCCAGGCCATTGCGTCCCCTGCTAACACACCACTCCTGTCAGAGGCACAGACAGTCTATGCTACCTGTTCCCATGCTCGGCACCTCCTGGCCCAGCTCAGCTGGGCTAAGGTTTAGAGAGCTTCTGTGGACCCCAAGTTCTATCTAACCTCCTAAGAAGCCTTTAAAATCCTTCCTTCCTCCCTCTCCTCTCAGAGCTCCTGCTGCCCATCTCTCCCTTCCCTCCTTCATCCTCCCCAATCTGACCAAAACTAACACTACCAGCCACCACCACCATGCACTGAGAGTTAACTTTCTGCCAGGCAGTGCGGTGGGCGTGGGGGTCACATGCACTGTCATCTCGTCTTACAGATGAGGAGCTGCTGCTAGCCCCAGTCACACGATAGGGGGATGGGCCAGGACTGAAACCCAGCCCTCCCCTGCTAGAAACCCTTAAAGGCTTAAATAATCCTCAGGATCAAATTCTTTTCCCAGCTTTAAGGCTCTGCTGGAACTGGCCCCCAGCCCGCCGAGTGACCTTGGGAAGAGGACGTCACCTGGCCTCAAGTCTCCACACCTATGAAATGGGGGGAGGGTGTCATGAGAACTAAAGGAGTTCGTACATGCCGACGGATTGGCCCAGAGCTTGGCACTAGCCGGACCTCAAAGTGCCCCTCCAGTGACCTGTAACCTCTGGCAGACCCCCTGGATTCCAGGCACCCAACCCAGCACCTTCTCCGACCTTTCCCATGACCTTTGACCCCACGGACGCCTGCCCAGCCAGGAGGCGCATGCGCCCTGAGGCTGCCGGCTCCTCGGTCAGCCCGCTACACGATTGAAGGACAGTGGCCGCGGGTCCTAAGCAGGCTGAGATGAAGCCCGACGCAAAGCCGGCGGCGCCAATGGGGACACTACACTCGGCCCTAACGCCGCGCTGCCCAGGCCCAGCCTTCACGACCGAGCTCGGGATACCCACCTTGAGCGCCGCCGCTTCTTCCCTGGCTGAGACGGTAGGTCAACCGAGAGGCGGAGCCTACACTCTGAGACGCTGCCATTGGGCCAGCTGGCTTCGCTTTTCCGAGCTGACCCTCTATGATATGCTCTGATTGGTCAGTGGAGCTACCGACTGATACGGACTCCAGACATATCTTTCTTTTGATTGGATAGAAGAGAGGGGGTACTTAAAGTTATGTAGGACGCCGCCATGTTGGTTTGAGGAGGCCAATAAGCGACGACTTCGAAGCCGCTGGAGGCGGGACTTCCGGGGCGTGATTTAGAAAGCGGCTCCGGGTCGCTCTGGGCGCCGTGGGCAAGGGCGTGTGGTAACAGAGGTACTGACGGCGACCACGATTAGAATCGCGGCCAGCAGCCACTCACTGCTCGGTCGTGAAGGCTGGGCCTGGGCAGCGCGGCGTTAGGGCCGAGTGTAGTGTCCCCATTGGCGCCGCCGGCTTTGCGTCGGGCTTCATCTCAGCCTGCTTAGGACCCGCGGCCACTGTCCTTCAACGCTTTACCCATATACGGCTTCATTTAATCCTCACGGCAGCCCTTTGTGGGGGTGCTACAAGACTTTATCAGTTGGGGAAAGTGAGGCATGGGCGTATTTAGTAACTGTCCCCGGGCCGTAGAGCTGCGGAGTGCGGCCGCCTGATCTGCACCTGGATCTGTATGACTCAGGAGCCCCGCTCTCAACCTGTGAATTCTGTGTTGCAGGCTGCGGCGCCGAGGCGGCCCCTGACGCAGTCTGCGTGTGTCGACGGCGGTGGTGGTCTGGGAAGGCTTCCTGGAGGAGGTCATGTTTAAACTGACAGTGAGTAGGAGTTGGGCAGGCCAGGAAGGGCAGAGAGGCGTGCCCTGCGTATGTGCAGAGGTCCTTGGACAAGGAGGACACGCACACTAGATGAGGACAAGGACAGGACAGGCCTAGTTCGGGCAGAAGGAGCAGGGGCTTGGTGACCCGGTGTCCCCGGAGCGATGAGCAGAGCCTCCTAAGGATTTGGGACTTGTGGGCCACAGGAAGGCCCTGGAGGATTTCATGCCGTGGAGTGGCATGGTCCCAGCAGGTTTTGGGAAGATCAGCAGGTGCCCTTAGGAGAGGGTTGGGCCTGGGAGAAGGGAGGTCTGGGACGGTGTTCTGCACCAGGCCCTGGCTGTGGGCATGGCGATTTGGGTGTGGATCTGGGAAATCCCTTGGCGGTACAGGATCATCAGGATTTGCTCAAATACAGGACTTGGGAGGTAAGAAGCGGTGTCAAGCAGGAGGCCCGGGATTTTGGCTTTGGTGGCTGAATGGATGGGCCCCAGTAGGGTAAGCAGGATGGGGAAGAAGATGAGTCCAGGGTGGGTCGTGGTGAGGGTAAGAGGTCCGGAGCTCTGAGAAGCTCACCTGGACATGCTGCTGCAGGAATCTCAGCTGACCTGTGGGAGAGAAGATGGAGGCAGCTCTCCCAACCCGAGCGAGAAAAGAGGACACCTGGACCTTGGGTCAGCAGCTCCCTAATTTAATCCTCATAACAATTTCAGGAGATATCAAGTGTCAGTCATCCACACTCCAACAGTTGGGGAAACTGAGGCCCAGAAAGGGCAGGGCCAGCCTGGGTCACAGCAGTTCTGCAGTATGGCCTGGACCAGAAGCCAGGGCCCCTCTGCTGCGCCCTCCACAGGAAGGCAGTGGCTCAGAGTGTCGGGTCTACCTCCTTCTCCCAGGACACAGGTGCAGGGAGGGGGTGGGTCACTGCACTTTTTCCCATGTCCCTCCCCTTGGCCCATCCTACTTGAGGGGTGGCTGAGAGAGGAGGGCAAGCACTGGTCTGTGGCCTTGGCGGTTCTTCCTCCACATGCTCTCAAGCCCAGGCCCCGTCTCTACCAAGTGCAGCGGTGGTGGAGGTCGCAGACAGGAGCCTGGGGAGCGCTGGGCAGGCTCAGAGCAGCGTGCAGCTGCAGCAGTGGGCCTCCATGGCCACCAGCAGCACCCTCAGGTTGCGCTGCGAGTGGGGTGGGTAGCGGAGGTCATTGACCTTCTCCATCCTGGGGCTGCGTAGCAGGCAGGCGCGGTGGTGGGAGAAGGTGTCGAAGGAGAACTTGCCATGGTACCTGCCCATCCCGCTGGCACCTGCACATAGCACAAATACAGGGAGTGAGGCCCTCAGGCCAGCCCTGGGGATGTCAGACCTGGACTGCCAGTCACACACAGCGGGACCTAGGTGGGCTGCTTCACCTCCCTGGGCCTCAGTTTCCCCATCTGTCCAGTGGCTAATCATGAGGCACTGTGGGTAAAGGGCTTGGCCCCAAGCCTGGCACCAGCTCAATAAGCATGAGGACATCAGGAGTTGGGACAAGATAGGCAGACAGTGGTCGAGGGCATGAGTTCCAGAGCCAGGCTGCACAGGCTTGAATCCTGGCTCTGCCACGAACTAGCTTTGTCACCTTGGGCAAGTGACTGTGCCTCTGTGTGCTTCAGTCTCCTTCCCCGTGCCATGGGGTGTCAATGGCACCTACCTCTTGGGTGTAGCGGGGATTAAGGGAGCGTTGAGGCCTGTGGGCACAGTGAGCACTGTGTTGTTAGGAGTCCTCCTCAGCATCTAGGTAGTGAGGCCAGTGGGGACCCAGTGGGGACACAACCTAGGTGGAGTTAGGGGTAATCGGGGAGGGCCTCCTGCAGCGAGAGGCCCGTGGGACGTGGAGTTAGCCACATGAAGAGGGTGAGTGAGGGCTTAGACGTGGGTAATGCTGCCTGGCACGTTAGGGACCTGGGCAGAGCTCAGGCAGGGAGGTGGGGGGAGGCCGGAGCAGGAGCCCACAGCCAGACCAGGAAGGGCTGGCTTCAAGAGCTAAGCCGGCCTGGCTTGCTGCCCGGGGCCCTGGGAGCTGGGGGAGGTTGTCCTCAGGGAGCGGCAGGGTCAGATTGCCTGCAGATAGCCCTGCCCTCTCCCGGTGGAGGAGGTGGGATGAGCAGGGCTGGGGACTAGAGCGGGATCTAGGCAGGATCTGGCACAGAGACCCAGGTGAGAGCCAAGGCTGGAGGCCAGAGGGACAAGGTTCCACAGCCAGGGACAGCAGCCCACTGGGTGCTCCTGTGGCACTGGCCACTCTCCAGGGGGGGTATAGGCCCTTTTGGGGCAGCTTACCAGGCCCTACGGTCATTTACTCTGGTGCCAAGTGTGGACAGGTGGAGGGACCTCGAGTCACATGCTCTGGCCCTACCTGTTCACTGAGGAGGAAGCAGGCTCAGAGAGGAAAGGTCACCCCAGGTGGCACAGCCTGTCAGAGCATTGCTGGACCGAGCCCTGAGGTGTCCTGACTCAGAGGCCAGGACTTTGCAGCTGTATCGGGGCTGCTCTGGGGGTCAGGGGTGGCATTGGCACTCACCCAGGCCTCCCCAGGGCAGGAGAGCGGGCAGCAGCCACCAACGGGGTGGGAAGGGATGAGACACCAAGGGTTGGACTGAGGGGATGGGGGAGGGGTTAGAGAAGTGTCAGCCATGGAGCAAAGAAGACATAGCAGGTGGCTCTGCTGACCAAGTCATCCTGCCGTTGGGGAGAAACTCGAGTAGCAACATGGTGGGAAGGGTAATCACAGTTACGTTCTTTAAAAGGCCCCCCAAAATTTGTATCAATGCAGAGATGGGTCTGGAAGGTTCCACAGACTGGGGAGAGGGGCAGGATGGAGGCGCTGGGGTGGGACTTGGACAATGAGGAGGGGCACCCTTGCTTGTTCCTCTACACTGAGGCTGGGCTGGGACGTTTTTTAGTGAGGACGTGTGAGTGACACCGCCAAGAGTCATTCAGGAATGACGAAGCAGGGTCGGCGGCACCTACCCACTCCTCCGAAAGGCAGGCTGGCGAGCGTCAGGTGCATGAAGCCGTCGTTCCCGCAGAAGCCCCCGCTGCTGGTCCGGGCCAGCACCCGCTTGACCACCTGGGAGAGAGCAGGACACGTGCGAGCCTGGCCCCAGTGCTGGGATCTGTCTGGGCTGAGCTCAGTGACACTGATCTGGTTTCAGAAAGGGTCTGAGGCCACTGCATCAGCTGAAGGGAGGCGGGCTGGGTGGTTGTGTTCCAGCCCCTCATCAAGCCCCCGACTTGGGACGTGTTTCCCAAGCGTCTGCTTGTGTGTGGCCCGTGCAGAGGGCTGGAGACTGTCAGGCCCAACGGGGAGGGCAGGAGACCCAGTGTCACCTGGGGATGTGGAGGGTGCAGTGGCAGCCGTGCGGTGCCAGGTAGTCAGGGAGGTGTCCCAGGGGAGGGACATGATGTGCCGCTGAGTCCTGGCGTGGGGGGAGGAGTTATTTTGACAAAGGGGGCACCTGAGGCAGAGCAGAGGTCGGGGGCTTTGTGTGGTGTGGCACTGGGGACGTGAGACATGCACGATGGTGTGTTTGGATCTGCACTTTAGAACATGAGCTTGGCCCTTGCTTGACTTCATAAAGGACTTCCTTCTTCACTCTGTGGGTGCTAAATAGTCACCGCACAGATAACTTCACTATATTTAGTTCCACTCGTTGTGACCCTCAGATGACAGCTGGGTCAGGGCTTGTCTGACAGTGGGCAGACTGGACCCCCCACCACAGGTTCAGACATCACTTCAGCGCAGTGAGAGCCGCATTACCCATGACGACAGTCGCAGGAGACCGAGCACAGAGTGTCGGGGTCCTTCCTGGGGAGTGCGGGCAAGTCGCCTGTGCATTGTGTGTTGGGTGTGGCTCTGGTCCTAGGGCCAGGCTGGGTGGTCGGGAAATTATGAAGCCAGATTACCGCAAGAAACCTCTAGCATTTTCTAAAGGTTAAAGTATCTAGATAAACCAAGGCTCCTTAGAAGAATGGCTGGTTCTAGAATCGGGGAGGGAAATACAAAATGAGCCTGGTGCTTCTTGCAGCACCAGAAAGGAAGTGGTCAAAACCCGAAAGGCAAAAAAAAAATTGGACAGTGATGCTAGCACAAAATAAAAAAAAACAAAAAAACAAAAAAACCCGAAAGGCCAGCACATGTCACAGGAACACAGCCGCTCCCGCTGCCAGGCCTGGAACAGAGCTCACAGCCTTGGATTATAACCCAGAGAACCCAGCATGCATGAGGCCGTGCTGGTCTAAATAAAGAATTCAACACACAAACCTTTCCTACAGGATCCCGAAAAATGTACATAGGTATTCCCCATTCTGCAGATGGAGCTGCGACTCACCCTGCCTGTTGGGAGTGGCTAGACTTAGAACTGGCTTCCAAAGCATAGATAGGGAACGATAGCGATAGTGGAGACCCCTGGGATGCAGCCTAAGCCAAGCAGGGAAACCCCAGAACACTTATCTAATGGGGAGAAACCCCGGACACGGGGGCGCTGTCCGGGAGACTTGGCCAGCACTTCTCAAGCTGCGAGGCTTGCTTAGTGCATCGTGGGATCCTGCAGCAGGAGGAGGACATTCGAGGCAGACTGGCAAAATCTAAATGAAGTCTGGGGTGTAGGTAACAGTGACACATGAGTGCCGAGTTCTTTTTTTTTTGAGACAGAGTCTTGCTTAATTGCCCAGGCTAGAGTGAGTGCCCTGGCGTCAGCCTCGCTCACAGCAACCTTAAACTCCTGGGCTCAAGCAATCCTCCTGCCTCAGCCTCCCCAGTAGCTGGGACTACAGGCATGCGCCACCATGCCTGGCTAATTTTTTCTATATATGTCAGATGGGCAATTAATTTCTTTCTATTTATGGTAGAGACGGGGTCTCACTCTTGTTCAGGGTGGTTTCGAACTCCTGACCTTGAGCGATCCGCCCGCTTTGGCCTCCCAGAGTGCTAGGATTATAGGCGTGAGCCACCGCGCCTGGCTGAGCGCTGCTTTCTTAACTGAGACCTACGTAAGCGCCCTCGAACAGGAGCCCGGGCGTGGGGTATGTGGGGATTCTGCACTATCTGCAACTTTCTGTAAATCTAAGATTATTCCCCAATAAAAGGTTTATTAAAAAAACATTGTTCAAACAGGGTAGAGATCTCTTGAGAGCTGGGTGAGAGGGCCGGGGAGGGTGGGCGGGGACGGCGGGACCTCTTGGTGTGTCTTCATCTGGGGGCTCCCAGGCCCCCCACAGCTCGAGCAGGGGGGCAGGGCTCATTCTCAGAGCTGTGTGTCCGGGTCTGTCCCCACCCTGGGTCACTCCCTGGGATGTTGTGAGTGCCTCCAGAGCCAGGCATGAGGAGGGGTGACCTTGGCCACCAGGCTTGGGTGTGTGAGGAGGGACGAAGGAGGGGACTGAGCTAGGGCACACAGGGCCCTGGAGAAGACCCCCCGCAGGAGCTGCCCACTGAAGGCCCAGGAGAGTGTGGCCCAGGCTGGGGTATGGCGGGAGGGCGAGGCCCGGCTGCTCCCTGGACGGAGGGCAGCGGCAGGGCCACGAGGACCACCAGCCCTGGAGTCCCGAGACTGCCTGCAGGGGCACGGCCCCTCTGCTGCCACCACACCCACTCCCACAGCCCGTCCTGTGCCCAGCGCGGGCCCCACCTGGCTGCTGTTGGAGAAGGCGTAGAGCGCCAGGGGCTTCTCCCGCCGGTTGATGAAGTCGATGGCCTCGTCCAGGCTGCGCACGTTCACGATGGGCAGGATGGGCCCGAAGATCTCCTCCTGCATCACCGGCTCCGTCTCCCGCACGTCCACCAGCACCGTGGGCGCTGCGGGCACGGGGACGGCTCAGCCCCGGGGCCACAGCCAGGACACGGCCTCCCCTGGGCCTGACTTCCCAGGACTCCCGGCTTTGGGGTGTTCTCGGGAAGAAAGTCCCCAGAGCCCCTGGGAAGGGACCGTAGGGGCTTCCCCGGCCTACAGGACCCAGAGAATCCCCCAGCCTGGGTCTCACAGTCAGGGGTGACAGCGCCCAGAATGCTGGATCGGCACCGTCACCCTGAGCTGCTGGGCCGCATGGCCCGGGAGACTGTGGGGCTCAGGTGGGGCCGTCGGGGTTTAGAGCCTAGGGTCGTGGGCCCACTGACTCTGGGGTCGAGGCCTCGTGGGACAGAGATGGTGGGACGGGGGGTTAGGATCTTAGCACCCTGGAGCCCTGGAGCCCTGGAGCCCTGGGTGTGAGCTTCGAGACTCCAGAGCTGTGGGGACTGAGTCTGGGGTCGCGGCGTCCCAGGCTGAGCACCGCAGCCACGGGAGCACAGTGTGTCGGGCTCAGGGCTGGGCTCTGGCTGTGGGGCCGAGGTTTCGGGCGCCGGCCCAGGCTCGAGGCCCAGCGGTGGCCCCTCCAGCGCAGACGGGTCTCGGCCCGGGTGGCCGTGGCGGGGCGAGCGGGACCCACCGATGTAGCGCTGGCTCTCGTCGCTCTGGCCGCCGATGGCCACACGGCCACAGCCCAGCAGTGCCCGCAGCCGCTGGAACTGCTTCTGGTTGATGATGCGGCCCAGGTTTGGGGAGCTCTGGGGGTCGTCGCCGTAGAAACGGGTGATGGCGCTCTGCAGGGCGGGCAGCAGGCGCTCCTGGGTCTCGGGGCTGCACAGGATGTAGTCGGGGGCCACGCAGGTCTGGCCGGCGTTGAAGTAGCGGAACCAGGCCACGCGGTTGGCCACGGTCTGGGGGTCGCAGTTGTCGTCCACGTAGCAGGGGTTCTTGCCGCCGAGCTCCAGAGTGACAGGTGTCAGGTGCTTGGCGGCGGCGGTCATGACGATCCTGCCCACACGAGGGCTCCCTGGGCGTGGAGGGGAACCAGAGTGGCCTTTGGGTCACCTGGACCAGGTGGGATGGCCTGGGCCTGGGGGACTCACGACTCCCTGGAGAGGTGGTGGGGTGGGGTCGGTGCTGGCCCTGGCCTGGCCTTTCCTTGCCACCGGCTGCCACTTTGTAGTCCAGGACTCTGCTCAACCCTTCCCCACCCCGCTCGGGGCGCAGAGCCTGGGGGAGGAAAGACGCGGCTGCCCCTGGCTCCCCCTCCCGAGCTGGGCCCCTCGGCTCCTACCTGCCTCCGCGCCGCACCCTGCTCACCTTGCAGGGGGCTCTGCAACATGCCACGTGGAACCCTACCCACGTCTCCATTCCCTTCTATCACCTTTGGGGACCCCCTGTCACCCAAGGCTGGAGTCCAGCTCTTCGTCTTGTGACGTCTAGGTCTCTCCTCTCTCTGACCTAAACCTGGCAGCTCTGCCACCCTCACCGTCCGCCTGTCCCTCCCTACTGACCCTCTGAGTGGACTGGCCAGGGCCATGCAGTCATCCCAATGTCTCTCCCGGCTCAGCCTCCCCCGTCCTCTGTGCTGACCTCGTGGTCCTGACAGTCTCCCTCGTCCCCCCATGTCCTCTGCCTCAGACCCGTGGGGCCTCAGGACCTGCTCCCCAGGCCTGGCCCAGGGCCCGAGCCACCTCATCTCCTGGGACGGCCAAGGCTCAGGGCCACATGGCCCACCTGTCACTTCTTTGCTCTCGCCTCTGCCCCTCCCGCTGTGGCTCTCCCTTGGCTCCTCCTGTCTCTGCACAGAGGTGGCCTGGCCAGTCCTGCCAGGCCCTCCCCACCACGGCCCCTCCTCCAGCCCCACGTTCTCATCCTCGCCCTGCCTGCTCTCCGCCCCTCGCTGACTCAAGACCTCGAGGTTTTGTCCGTCCAGTCCCTGCTGTGCCGTGAAGGACAGCCCGAGGAGCTTCCCAGTGGCTCCGTGTGCCACATAGGATGTCATTGTCACTGCTTTCACCCTCAGCCTGCAGCCCTGTCTTGGGGATGGCCCCAATTTTACAGGGAGGGAAACTGAGGCCCGGAGCAGTTGGGGTCCCAGCTGGGTCTGTCAGCCTCTGTGCGGGCAGCTGGGGTGCCTGGTCTGGAAGCTGCCTCCTGGGGCCTCCTTTCGAGCCAGTTGAGGGCCTCATCCCTGTGCCCCCTCTGTCCCCTCTCTGTTAGCAGCTGGGGGCAGGCGGGGCTTTTCCTGGGCTGGAGGCACAGTCTGGAGAGGGGAGGCCAAGCTATAGCCCCTGCTCTGACCCTGTGCGCAGCGTGGGAGGCCAGCCAGGAGCCACTCGGACCTGGCCTCCTCGGCTCTTTCGTCTCTTCTAGAAACTTGTCCTGGTCACTTGAAGCCAGACAGTGTCTGTGCCGTGCGGGCATGTGCCAGGATGATAGCCGGTGAGCACCCCTCTCACCGACGACTTGGGTGCAAATCCCAGCCTGCCCTTGTCCCTACCAGCGTGGTGACCCCAGGTAGGGCACTGTGTCCCTTCATCACCCTGAGCCTCCTATCTCTCATCTGCCTGCCTGCAGGGCTGGCTGTGGGACTAGTAAGGTTGCCTGCAGGGCCTGGCACAGCGGGAGCTCAGCACGGCCAGGTGCTGTGAGTCATGAGACTGTGGCTGGCGGACAGGCTGTGGCCCTGGACGTGGGGCTCCGTCCCTTCCTGAGGGGTCCTGGGGTCCAGGGCTGCTCCCAGCCTGGTCAAGAGAGAGGAACGAGGGGGTCGTGGAGCCCCAGCGCTGGCCCGGTCTGGGCCCTCCTGGCTGGCTGCTGCCTCAGTCCCTTGTGGACTCCCTCAGAGTTAGGGACAAGAGGCCTGAGGGTGGGCTGTCCTCCCCTCCCCCGGCCTCACCTGTGAAGAAGATGTAGTCGAACCTGTGCTCCAGCAGCTGCCCCATCTCCTGGGGCCCGCCCAGCACCACGGCAAAGCAGCTCTGCAAGGCGGGACAGGCGGAAGCTCCTCTGGGATCCCAGCCCCGAGAGCCCAGAGGCTGGCGTGCCTGCCCTCCTGGCCCCTGGCCCCGTGCCTGGCCTGACCCCGAGTCGCCAGGCCTCCAGGTGGGCAGCAGGGGAGTGGGAGTGGGTTGCTCCCCAAGGCCCAGCCCAACAGGGGCGAGGTTGGGTCTGGCCGGGCTGCAGGGAGGGCTGAGGCCAGGCCAGGGCGAGCAGGGCAGAGCAGAGGCAGACATGGGACCCCAGGGGACAGGCTCCTCAGAGGGAAACTGAGGCTGTGGGGTGGTTGGGACGCAGGTCTGACCGACAGGCCCTTCCATGCTGGGGCCGCCCAGCCTGCCGGCCCTGCTCACCTGGTCCAGGTATCGGGGCAGCACCTCGGCCAGGACCTTCTCCACGCTGGTGCTAATCTCTGACGGCTTCAGCACCACGCAGTTCCCTGCAGGGCAGGCGGGGAGAGAGCTGGGGAAGGCGTCGCCCACCCCTGGTCTCCTCAGACCCCCAGGGTGGGCGCCAGCCTCACACGTGTTCAGAGGAAGAACCTGGTTCAGAGAGGTGACATCACCAGCCTGAGGCCACACAGCCCGGGGATGCTGGACCAGACCTCGTGCCAGCTCACCCCTGTCCTCCCTGGCTCGGCAGGTGGCCTGGAGGCCTGGAGGTGGGGACAGCGGCAAGAAGGCAGGGACTTAGCTCTCACCTGCGGCCAGGGCCCCCACCAGGGGCACCAGCGTCAGGTTCAGCGGGTAGTTCCAGGGCGCGACGATGAGCACCAGGCCGAAGGGCTCCTTCCGGATGAAGGCCGAGTCCAGCTGGGTGGCCTGGGCCGGGAGCCAGAGGTGGACGTGAGGCGCCCAGAGCCCTCAGCCCCTCGTAGCCACCCGCGCCCAGAGAGGCCACCCGGTGGAGCCAACAGTCCCTGAAGCCCCGGCTGCCCTGCCGCCCGGCGCGCTCACCAGGTTCTTGTGCGCTCTCTGGTCCTTCATCCAGGCCCGCAGGTTCCTGAGGGCCAGGGTGACCTCGCTCTGGCTAATGGCGATCTCGGACAACTCCGACTCAAAGGCTGACTGCGGGGAGGCGGTGGGGTCAGGGCTGGGCCAGGGGACCCCGGGGTCAGCAGGTGGCCAGAGCCCAGGGGAGGGCACAGCCTCCTCGAGCAAGGCCCGCTGTTATTCACTCATTCATTCACTCCTTTGTTCCCTCACTCCGCGTTTGGCGCCTGTCCCTGTGTGAGGCACTGTCCCTGTGCCCAAGTGGAGCAAGCTGCCCGTGGGGCCGACCTTGTAGCAGGCAGTCGAGTGACGGTGAGGACACTGATGGCGCCATTAGGTTGTGGCGGTGCTACGGGCAGAACAGAGCCGGGCTGGGGGTCGAGACAGCAGAGCGTGTGGGTGTGGGCGTGCACGGCTGTGCAAGTGTGCACACGAGCACGCGTGCTTGCGTGTGTTCACTCTGCTTTATACAAGATGGTCAGGCCTGGCCTCCAGGATGAGGTGACATTTGAGCAGTGATCTGAATAGGGAGGGAGACAGCCCGTGGATACCTGGCGGCGGAGTATTCTGGGCAGAGGTGCTGGCACGTGCCAAGGCCCTGAGGTGGGTAGGAGTTTGCTCTGTCCCTGCTTGGCAATGAGAGAGCAGTGGGCAAGGTGACAGGGGCAGGCAGCCAGGGCGAAGACTCCCGAGCAGAACAGGGACAGGACCTGACCCAGGTTTTAACAGGACTGCCTGAGTGGCCTGCTGCATGGGGACCCGTCTGCCCGGGACACAGGGCAGAGCCATCCCTGGGTAAATGCTGGCATTTCATAGGCCGGGGCCAAGGGCACCACCAGGTTTCCAGGCAGGAGTGAGAAGGAGAGGAAATCAGTAAGGACATTGTCCCGATCTCTGCCAGCCAGTGTGTCCTGCCCTGCCGCGGGCAGCAGAGACCCCCCAGTGGTCTGCAGGCAGCTGAGGCTCTGCCAGGGGGGTGGAGCCAGGCTGACCGCACCTGAGGCACTGCAGGCTCCCATGTGTCAGAGCAGAAGGGGACAGAACCAGAGGCCGGCAAAGCCCAGAGGGGGTGCCCTGCCCAGGCCACTCAGCCAGCCAGGGGCAAGGCCAGGGCCAGAGCTGAGCCCTGGGGGGAGGGGAGTGTGGCTTTGGAGGGCGACATTGCAGCCACCAGCACTTCCTAATCGTGAGTCTGGTTCCAACACGCTTCCAGCACAGAGCCCTCGCTCCCTCCCTGTGAGCCTGGTAAGTTGCCTGGGACCCGAGCCAGTTTCCCAGAGCGTCTGCACCAGGGGTCCTCAAACTTTTTAAACAGGGGGCCAGTCCACCGTCCCTCAGACCGTTGGAGAGTGCGGCGCACATTCCACACATGCGCACTGTGGGCCCGGGACAGGCAGGACAGGCAGTGAGGGCAAAAACACCCGGACACCCAGGACAGGCTGGATAAACGTCCTCGGCGGGCTGCATGTGGCCCGCGGGCTGTAGTTTGAGGACCCCTGGTCTGGACCCAGCCAAGCACCTCCACTTTGGAAAAGCAGGCTGTCGTGAGCCGGTTCAAGCCGGTGGGTAACCGGCCGCCTAGGAGGCTGTTGGGGTTCACTGAGAGAATGCAGCCGGGGCAGATGCTGCCCGGGGGTGGGGACGGGTAGGGGGTGGCTGGATTTTCTGGGCTGCTGCCCCTTTGTGGAGCTCCTGTACTTGGGACAGGAAGGCAGCAGGGGGCATCTGAGCCGAAGGGAGAAAAGGGACCAGGTGGTCTGCTCAAGTCTCATGGAGGCTCAGAGGCTGGGGGTCGGTCCCGGGAGGCAACAGGCTGGGGTAGGATCTGGACACTGTGGCCACCGAGGCACAGGCAAATGACATTTTGTCCACAGAACAGGGGCCCGGGGCAGCCCCTTGGACGCTGGCCAGGGCAGGGCAGTCACGCAGGTGGGCCCTGCTGGCAGACAGGTGGCGGATGGGCCGCAGGGCAGTGTGCTGCTTGGGGTCCCGCCTTGGCTGCCGCTGGAATTGGGAGGGGCTGAGCCCCCAGGGTTCGCACAGTGGCCGAGATGCCCCCTGCACCCAAAGTGCAGCCAAAGTCCTCCTCAGCCTATCTGGGGAGACCCCCTCCCCAGACCTTATCTTTTGTGTCTCTGCCTCTGCCTCCCACCGCCCCAGCCGTGCCGGCCTCCCTGCTGCTGCTCAAGCACAGACACGCCGAGCACCTGCCTCAGGGCCTTGGCACGTGCCGTGCCTGCTGCCACTTCCCCCCCGAGTCCATGTGGGCTTTCCCGCTCCTCCTTCATCCCTCTGCTCTAATGCCCCTTCCCAGAGAAACCTCCCCTGGGCCTCCCCGACCCCACAGGTAAAGGAGCAGCCTGGCCCTGCCCTTCACCTTCATACTGTCTCCATGGCAGTGTTTCAACCCAACATGCTATGTCATTGTTTATTTACTGTCGTATTATCTCCATGGGCACGGGGGCTTTGTTTCATGTCTGCTGTACCCCCAGAGCCTGGAACAGTGATGGCATATAGTAGGTGCTCAATAAATGGCTGTTGCAGGAAGCCAGAGATGGACGACTGGACGAATGCAGGGGAGCAGGCTGTGGCCCAGGGGCAGACCAGGGCTGTGACGGGCTTTTCCTTCCCCTTCCGGAGGATGCAGCTGTCCCCACCCCCCTGTCCCAGCCGCCCCCCGCCCCCGCCCCGCTGCCCACCTTGTGCAGGTCCTGGGCCAGCGCGTCCTGCAGAAGCTGCTTGTTGTCCTGTAGGAAGCGGCCCAGGCCCCTGAGCTGCTCAGCCCGGAACTCGGCCGGCCGCGTGAGCCCCGCGCTGAAGGCCTCCCGCAGCCGCCGCAGCGTGTCCTCGAAGGGGTCCATCCTGCCGGGGGAGGGGGGGCGGCGTGGGCTGGGGGGCGGGGCTGCCCTCCTTCACGGGTGCCCAGGGCCCGCGGCACCCCTGCCCCTACCTGCACCTGCGGGGGCCCACGGACGCTCCCGCCTGGGACACCCACTGGGGGACCTAACGGGGGCCAGGGGCTGCCTGCGACCCCCGCCCCCCCCCACAGGACACACATACACCCACAGACCCGCAGGCCACTCCTGGAGGCGGCTGCAGGCCTGGGCGTGGGCTTGGGGACAGCCTCTCCATGCCCCCACGGGTGGGCAGGCAGGCAGAGGGTCACGCTTCTTCCTGCCACGTAGAAATTAGCCCCAACCCCTGGCCTCAACCTGCCCTGGTGCCCCCGCGCCCCGGAGGTGGAGTGGCTTCCCCCTGCCTGGCCTGAGTGGGGTAAACCGGAGTTTGCCGAGTGGAGGGACATTCTCCAACCACGGCCACCACCTCGGAACACTCCAGACAGAATTCTCTGTCCTCCCCTGTCCCCAGCCCAGGCCGGCTGGTGGTGGCTCAGAGGCCTGGCTGACCTGGGGCAGTGGCCTCCCCTCCCCGAGCCTCAGCTGCCAGGGAAGAGGGAAGGATACCTCGGGACCCCAGAGCCCCAGCTGCCCACCCAGCCCAGGCTGCTGTGTTTGGAGGAGGAGGTGACGGTGCAGGCGAGGGGTGAGAGGGCAGTCGTGCCTCCATGCTGTCACCAGCTGGGGCTGGCAGACAGGGTAGGGGCCCTGAGATTCCCCCGGGCCCTGCCTGTTTACCTGAGGCTCATCAGAGGAGCCCTCTGACGCACTCACTGCTCGGCCTGGTGCCAAGGACCCGTGGGGACCCTTTCCTCCTTCTCTAATTCCTTCCCTTCAGGGCTCAGTTTGGCTGATGCCGCCTCCAGGCCGCCCACCCTGATTACTCCCTCATCCTCTCCCACAGTGGCCCCTTGGCTCTGCTGCCCACCGACGGGTTCTGGGTGTGACAGCTGCCTAGTCACACTCTGTCCCTGTGCCTTGCCCGTTTGCCCCTCCCAGTGGACTGGGAGGCAGGCCCCTCTTTGCCTACTTAACTCATCATTTGGGACTTGGCACCCCAAATGCCTCATCTGTTAGGGGCACGACTACAGCCCCTGCCAGCTGGCCGTTGTTCCCGAAGGCTGAGACCATGCTGTCCGCCCTGCGCCAGGGCTGGCATCGTGCCCCCGAAGCTGTGCTGTCTCCCCCGAGGGCCGGGCCCGCCCCAGCCCAGGATGACCTGGCCCCACAGGCGTGCCGAGAGCCAGTCTGCAGCCCTGGGCCGTCCCTGGCTGGTGTGACTGGGGGTGCCAAGCTGTCCCCACAGGCCTCTCGCTCTGATTGGGAGAAACTGGGCAGCTGCCTCTGCGCAGGACAGGCACGGTGGCCCCCAGAGGGGTGGGCAGGTCACAGAGGGAGACTGAGACCCAGGAGCCAAGAGCCCTGCCGCCCCTGGAGCTGCTGTCGGCCTTGTCTCCTGGCTGTGCCCCTCACTGGCTGCGTGACCTTGGACAAGTCACTCATCCTCTCTGCCTCAGTTTCCTCATCTGTAACATGGGGATGAGCGTAGCACCTGGTGTCGTCGTGACAATTAAATGACACAATGCTGTATAAAGCGTTTGCCGTTGTGCACGCAGAAAGTGCCCAGCAGAGGCCAGCGTGGGTATTTGCACCACGCAGTCTGCAAATGTTTACTCCCCGCCCCATCCACCCCGGGGATGTTTACCTGCCCAGGCCCCCTGCGGCTGCCCTGCTCTCGCCCTCAGGCTTCACCGGAGGGTGCCAAAGGCAGACCACACCTGCACCTCCCGCCCTTCACAAGAGTCCCCGCAGAAGCCACAAAAATGTGAGGCATGGGAGGTGAATGGGGGACCTGTGGGCAGGGCAGTGGGCAGGGGCTCTGCGGGTGGGGGTGGGGGCCTGGATGGAACATTCCGGCAGCCTCTCCTAGCAACACTGAGGCCAACTCACCCAGGGCAGCAGGACCCACATCTCCCCTGCAGGGCTGCCAGACCTGGCACTGTCCCCTGTGGTTGGTCACTGAGGACGGACAGCCCAGCAGGGACAGGGAGCTGGGCAGGACCTGGGCAGGCAGGGGAACCAAGGCTGCCTCCTGCCCGTGGGGGACCCTGGGCCTGTGGCCTCACAGAGGAGCTGAGCAGCCACTGCCGACCCTCAGAGCAGGGGACTCCTGCACCGGGCGCTGGGCCAGGCCCCGAGCCCCGTCGCCTGCCCTGTCTGGAAGGATGTGGCGCTCCACGTGCCTGCCTGACGCATTTAGCCACCACAGCAGCCCAGCCGGGGCCGCTGTTCGCCCACTGGGGATGGAGGCCAGGGCCCGCACAGGGCAAGGAGCTTGCCCAGTGCACCCCGCTCCCCGCACTGGAACCCCGAGTCCAGAGGAGCGCAAGGCTATGCGCCCCTGACCCCCACCTCCTGGCTGGACACCCCCGCTGTCCCCTGGGGGAAGGGCAGCCAGAGTCCTCGGGGAAGGGGAGGCTCCTGGGCTGGGCCTGAGAGCTGCAGACCAGGGCCAGGCGGACACTGGCATGTCAGCGGGGACAGGGGTGCCTGGCCAGGGTGAGAAGTCGCACCGTGTGGTTCCGTTCCCTCGGCCTCCGCCTCTCGCCACTGCGGCCAAGCCCGCCGTGCTAGGCCGGGTCGGAGGCCTCTTTCTGCCTCCTCGGGCTGAGCCGCTGAGGTCCAGGGCTGAGAGGCCCAGGGTCTCGGGGGCGTGGGCCCCCCACAGCTGGCTGAGGGGCCCCAGCTTCCACCTGCTGCTCTGGTGTCTGTCCCAGACCTGCAGCTTCTGGGCGAGCAGGGCGGGGCGGGAGTTGCTACATCATTTGATGGCGAAAGACACTTGATGGGGCCAGGGCAGGACCAGGCACTTCCCCTCAAGGCCACGGGCCTCCAACAGTGACGACCTCGCTAACTGTGCCAGGCACCGTGCCAAGGCGGTGCTCCCCATGGGTGCCCATGGCTTCTGGCACAGTGCTCCCGAGAGGTCTCTTGGAAGAGGGTGGAGGGGGGAATGGGGCCCGGCACTCGGGGCTGCTGGCTCCAAAGCATCATGGGAGTGAACTGCCACCCTGTCCCATCCCTGTGGCAGGGTCCTGCTGAGGGGCCGCCCACAGGGCAGACCCCGGCTCATTCTATACCACTCATCTATACCACTGGCCTTCTAAGAATACCTCCCAGTGCGGCGTGGTCTGGGGGCCCAGTGACCTGGGTTCAAACCACAGCGGCTGCGTGTATAGCTAGGAGGCGGCGGCAGGTCGCTTGGCCTGTCTGTGGCTCACTCCCCACCTGTGACAAAGGGCAGTACCTGCTGCCACCCTGCCGCTGGGAGAATTCAGGCAGAAAGCTCTGCACGTGCACAGGGTGAGCCTGGAAGCACCCAGTGACCATGGCTCCAATCGATCGCTATGCAGAGGGCTGTGAGGGACACATGGACCAGCGGGGGCCTGGGGAAGGAGACCCCTGGGTGGGGGCCCTAGGGGATCTTGAGCCAGCGTGGGTGCCAGGGAGGCAAGAACATCATCCTGAGATCCAGGTGGGGACACAGATGTGACGGAGGGACCGTGGCAGTTTGAGGGCAGGGCGACCCTCATCAGGGCAGGCAGAAGGCAGGGGTCCTGGGCTGGCCTCAAAGGCCCCACAGGCCCTGACACCCCAGGGTCTCTGATTCTAGTCTCCGGCCATCTAGCCTTGTTCAGAGTTGCCGGAGGCTGTTATTTTAGATGGAACCTCTGTACCAGGCCCCAGCAGGTCAGACCAACCGAAACAGAGCCACTTGTGCCAAGTGCCACGTGATCAAACTGAAATTGTAAGAGGGTAGATAGATCTCAAAACAACTGCCCAGTTTTTCCTGAAAGCAGGAGATGGCCATCCACCTGAGTCAGCAAGATCGGGGCATCTGCTCCACCCGACCCTTAAAAAAGCAGCCGGGGTAACCCGGTGCTCGCCTGCCAGTGTGTGCTTCCCATTCCTCTGCTTCCTTGTCACCGCCGCTCCGAGCCCACCGTCCCGCCACCGCCTGGCCGGAGCCCCCCTCTGCTTTGCAGAGGCCGCCTCGGTCCGGGAATTGTCAATAAAAGCCGATTAGATCTATAACTAAGTTTCTTGTCATCTTGGCTCTTGACAGCCCTCGCCTGGATTTTCACAAGGTCTCCCAAAGCTCCGGGCAGCACCCCTCCGGTCCATGAGGTCCTTGGGGAGCTGGGGGCCGCGCCAGCCCCCGGCCACACCCCACGGAGAGCTCCCTGACCCCGGCCACTTCCCTCTGATAAGCGCCTCCTGGGTGGGGCAGGTCTGGCGAGCTCCTCCTTCCCTGGACCCTGACTAAGTCCCTCGCCACCGAGGAGGACTGTCTCCCGGGGTCGTTTGCCGCCAGGCCCCTGCACCTGCGCCGGGCACGCACGGTGGTGCCCAGGAAATAGCTGTTGCCTGAAGGGACGCTTTGCCCCTCCAGGATGGGACACACATTCCTTCCTGGGGCAGCTGGGGCCCTGAGCTCCCTTAGAGAGCACCCCGGAACCCCAGCGAGAGGAGGCCCCGGATCCCCAGCGAGAGGAGGCCCCCCAGCCAGGCTCGTCAAAGTGTGGGTGCTGCTGGCCGCGGGCCCCACCCCCCTCTCCTGGTTTCTCCCTGCCCTTCCTCCCCGGCAGGCGATGAGCCCAGCGGGGACAAGGCCGCCTGTGTGTGCAGCTGCGTGTGGCCAGCCCTGCCCGGGGGCCGGCAGGGTGCCGAGTGGGATCCCGCCCTGACTGCTGGCCCGCCGCAGCCCAGCCTCCCCGGGGTTCTGTACCTGAGGCCCGGACAAGCCGCCCTCCTCCTGGCCGTCCCGCTCTGCCCGCAGCTCGGCCGTTGCGAAATGTCCAGCGCAGGGCCGGCCCTGGGGCGGGGCTCCCTGGCCTGGTTCCTGACTTGGCCCTGGGCCGGCTGGAGGCTGCGCTGCCTCCCTCGGGCGCCGCTAGAGCCTCTCCCGGGCAGCAGAGAAGGAACTGGGCGGAGAGGGCCGCACCCGGCCGGAGCACACAGCGGGTTTGAGCTCTGAGCCCAGGGGCCAGCCCAGGGACACGGAGAGCCGGGGCAGTGGCCGCAGGAATAACGGTGTGTGTGGGGGGGGGCAGCTGCCTGGAATAGCAAGGAAGGATCTGTCCCCCCTCCCTTAGGGCCACCCCCGAGGCTCAATTTCCCCGTCTGCAAAATGAAAAGTTCACACCCGAAGATGGCTAGAGTCCAGAAATGCCACCTCAGGGGCCACACCTGCCGCCTGCTCTGTTTCCCAGCCCCTGCGTATCTGTCCCTCAGCATCCATCACCCATGGACCACCCCATTCACGGAGCCCGTCACCCCCAAAACCTGAGGGGGTTTTCACAAATGAGGAGATGGGGGTCCAGAGAGGGGCTGGCCTCATGGGGCGTGAGTGGCGGAATTCTCTCTCCCGGGCTGGGGCTGCACCCACCCCAGATGTCCCCTCTGCCTCCTGGGGACGAGCGTCGCCCTCCAGGACATCGGTCACAACGCCAAGCATCGCCACGGTGGCTCCTGTGGTCCCGCTCCGCCTCGGGTGCCAGAGCTGTGCCAGGGGTCTGTCCCTGCCTTGGCCCCGGCCCACCCTGGGCACACCTGCCGGAGCCAACACAAACGGGGATGGTGCCCAAGCAGCTGCTGGTGTCAGACAGGCAGGCGATTGGGTTACAGGTGTGGGGGAAGGAACATCCTTTGTGCCGCTTCCTGGGCCCACTGCCACCGCAGTCTCCCTGCGCGCTGCTGCACGGGGCCCGCCTGGGCTCCTGGCCCCGGGGCCTCTGGGCCGACCTGGCACCTGGGAGGTGCCCATCACTGCCACCTCCTTCCCGGCTCCCCCGCCTACCTGGGAGGGCAGAGAGGTCTCCTGGTCCACGCCCACTCTGGTGGCCTCTGGATTTCGCTAGTTAGGGTGGGGGTGAGGGGCTGCTGAGGCCCCCCTGTCCTCTGTGTGGGATGGAGCCCCCGGCCGCCGTCAGTCACGTGGCTCAGCATGTGACAGCCCTGCCCTGCTGCTCTCTGGAGCTGAGCCAGGCAGGAGCGACAGCAGAGCGGGTGCCAGGCAGGGCTGCGCCAGGGCTGAGCCTGCAGCTCTTAGCCAGGAAGGAAGCCCAGAGAGGGGCAGCCACTGGTCTAAGGCCACACAGCAAATCAGGGACCCAGGTGAGGAGGTTCTGGTGGGTGGAAGGGCGTCACAGGATCCTGAGTTGGGGGGCTGTCGGGAGACCTCCTCCTACAGGGTCTGAACTTGTCATGGATTCAGGGAGGAGGCCCCCAAAGAGGCCTGCCCTCCTGGGATGGGGTCCAGGAGGCCACGCACCTCAGAGGCGACAGGGGCTGGACTCTCCCTTCTCTGGGTTGGGTTCAGTGGGGCCTTGGAGTTATGTCCTTGTTGAGGAGCGTCCAGGATAAACGGGGGGGCCCTCTGGGTGGGGCACCGCCAGGAGTCACTCTTAGAGCCGGTTCTGGTGGGGAGGGGCTCTGCTGAAGCCCAGGCCAGCCAGGTGGGGCGGGGGAGGGGAGCACAGAGGTGCTGAGGCTCCTGACGTGGCCACGTTCGCGGCTCTGGGTCAGCCTGGGCAAGCGCCTCGCCGCTTTGGGCCTAGGTGTCCTCATGTGAGAATGGGGCGACGGTCTGGGGTTGCCGATGGGTAAATGGGGTAACACAGTGAGCACTTAGCTCGGCAGCTGGCACAGAGGTGGTGAGGTGAGAGGCCTGGGTTCATACCCTGGTCTTGTCACTAATCTGTGTGACCTCAGGTTAGTGTCATAGCCTCTCTGTGCCTCTCTGTATTCCCATCTATAAAATGGGATGTGCAATAGTAAAACACGCCCAGGCGACTGTGAGGGTGAACTATGTCAGTCCGTGTCCGTGGGCCTGTACTTGTTACTGCTCTAAGTGCCCCTTGTCCCCCTCTGAAGGAGTCTGACGAGAGCCACTGTCCAGGCTGCAGGACAGGAGGGTGGCCCAGGCCCCTGCTGGTGCCAACACCTGCCCTCCAGACCCCCTCAGCCCTGACAGCCTCTGCCAGGGCCCCTGGCTTTGGGCTTCCCACCGCTCCCGCCCTCTGCTCCCGCCCTCTGCTCCCGCCCTCTGCTCTTGTCCCCAGGCTACAGAGGGGCACTGAGGCCCGGAGAGCTCTGGGACGTCCCGGGGCTTCTCACTGCCTCCACCGGGGCCTGCGGGCCCCTCTCCCTGGGCTGGGCCCCTTCCGTGAGGGCCCGTGGGAGGAGGGGCCAGGCCCTGCTGCCATGACACCTGTGGGGCTTGGGTTGGGGACTGACATTGTTTCCACCTGTGGCCTCCAGGGCAGCACGTGCACCAGGCGCCCTCTCAGGCGCCTTCTGGAGGTGCTCCTGCCTGACCTTCGCAGCAGCCCTGTCAGGCAGGTAGAGTCAACACCATTTACAGGTGAGGAAACTGAGGCCCAGCCAGTGGGCGTGACTCGCTCCAGGTCACGTAGCAGGTGAGCAGAGGAACCTGTCGGCAGGTGAGGCAGCGAGATGCTCTTAGGCGGGTCTGAGGCCCTGAGAGCCAGGCTCAGCAGGTGTCTGAGACGGGAGGGAATGAATGAATGAATGAATGAATGAATGCATCCACCCACTGCCCCTCTGCCCTGGGGATGGAGGTCAAACAGGAGCGCATCTAGACGGCACCTGAGAGGGCGCCCGGTGCACGCACGTGAACGCTCAACATATGTGGGTGCTCACCATACACGAACGCCTCCTGCACCTGTCCCCGCTCCCGGTGGAGCGGTTGCCCCAGGCCTCATCCCTGAGGCCCTGGCCCTGCCTTCACTCCCCTCCTTGCTAGCCTTGAAGGCTACACCCACCCTGGCGCCAAGGAGCAGGGCCCCCCAGAGGCCAGCGTGACCCCTGCCAGGGTGCAAAGGTGGAGGCCGCAGGGGCACAGTGCCCAGGACACAGCGAGCCGTAGAGATTGCCAGCACTCACTTGCTCCCTCAGCAAACCTTTACTAAGCGCCGACTGTGTGCCAGACACAGTTCGCATGGACTGCTCGGACATTAAATTGTCTGTGCTTTACAGCTGAGACGACAGAGTATGGTGACCTGGCCAGGGGCACCCAGAGAGGACACACCGGGGATTCAAACCCGGGCAGGCCCCAGTCCCCGGCCCGTGATGTTTCCAGGGTGCACTCACACAGGAGTCGGGGTCCTCCGCACGGGGTGAGCCCTTCATCTGACACCTGGGAGCCTCATGTCTCAGCTGAAAACGGCAGCCACCGTCCCCTGGACATTTGCTGGCCGGGCACTGGGCAGGGTCCTTGGCACTCCTCAGCTTGGGGACTCCCCAACAGCCTGTGAACCAGACTCAACTCCGAGCGGGAGGAACAGAGGGGAGAGGGGAACTGGATATTTTCTACCTTTTGGGGGGTTTTGTTTTGTTTTAGCTAGCCAGCTTTTGCAAGTCAGTTGTCTGGATATTTAAAAAAGCGTCCCAAGTGGTTCCGGCCAGGGAGACAGCCAGCGCTATGGAGTGTCAGCTCGCAGGGTGGGAGCCCCGTGGGCACCGGCAGCCCTGAACCAGTGCCCGCTGGGTGGGTCGGGAGGCTCTGACCTGGCTGCAGGGTGTTGCTGGGGTCACCCTCTGTAGTCCCGCAGCCGCCACAATCCCGGCCTCCCAGTGGCCCTACCCGAGCTCCCGTTTGCAGATGCCAGAGCTGAAGCTAAGGGGGCTCAGGCGTGGGTCCAGGGGGTGCCACTAGTGTCCTGCAGGGCTCCTTGATGACCTGCAAGAGCAAGGCCTGGAGGTGGGGCTGGGGCTGACCAAGGCAACGCTTAGGGGAGCTTAGAACGGGCCTGGCACTTTTTAAGGCTTTGCATTAACTCAATAGTTAGTTCTGCCACATCCCCCGGAATCAGTGCTGAGTGTCCTTGTTTTACAGGTTAGGAAACTGAGGCACAGAGAGGTGGAGCTGATTCCTACAGTCCAGAGCCGGGGAGTGGCTGAGCAGCGATTTGAACTCCTGTCGCTGGTAGAGGGCACGCGGGCACTCCCTGCACTAGCGACGCGGAGGAGGCGGCCCGCGGGGCGGGGCGGGCGGCCGGCGAGGGAGGAAGTGCGGGGCAGTCGCTGGGGCTCCCGGCCGCCGCCGCGATCCGTGGGGTCGGGCATGGAGCCGCCGCTCTACCCGGTGGCGGGGGCCGCAGCGCCGCAGGGCGACGAGGACCGGCTGGGGGTCCCCGACGGGCCCGAGGCCCCGGTGAGGAGCGGGCCGGGGGCGCGGAGGGGCGCGGGGGCGCGCGGGGCCGGGGGCCAGGGTCTGCGTGCGGGGCGGCGCGGGGCGGTGCGGGGCGGCCGGGCGGTGCGAGCGCGTGCGTGCGTGCCCGCAGCTGGACGAGCTGGTGGGCGCCTACCCCAACTACAACGAGGAGGAGGAGGAGCGCCGCTACTACCGCCGCAAGCGCCTCGGCGTGCTCAAGAACGTGCTGGCGGCCAGCGCGGGCGGCATGCTCACCTACGGCGTCTACCTGGGTACGCGGGCGCCCCCGCCCCCGCCCCCGCCCCCGCCCCCGCCGGCCGGGAAATGGAAACCGTCGCCGGCCGCCCGGCCCCTTTCGCTTCCCCATCAGCCCTCCCCGCGGGCAGCTGCGGCCGCCCATGGGGGGGGCAGTGTCAAGCAGGGCAGTGTCCCCGGTCCCAGCCAGAGCCTCTGTGTGGCTGCGGGGCGGCTGGGCTCCCGGGGCCCTGAGGGCCGGCGGAGCAATGCAGGTGGCGGGCCGCTGAAGCTGCCACCGGCTGGCAGAATGCTTGGCACACCTGTCTGCGACCTCTGTCCTGAGGGGCGCGGGAATCGGGGATCCCTTTGGTGCCCGGAGCTCCCCGCGAGGCGTGCCTTCCTGCCTCTGCTTGGTTGCCCCCAGAGCCAGGCTGCTCCCTCCATGCCCGCCCCCTGCCCCCAGGCCTCCTGCAGATGCAGCTGATCCTGCACTACGATGAGACCTACCGCGAGGTGAAGTATGGAGACATGGGGCTGCCCGACATCGACAACAAGATGCTCATGGGCATCAACGTGACGCCCATCGGGGCCCTGCTCTACACGCCTGTGCTCATCAGGTGGGGCGCAGCTGTCCCGGGGGTGGCGAGCAGTCACTCCCATCTCGGAGGGATGCAGAGGCTGCTCTGGTGTTGTGGGGGGCAGGGAGCGCTCCCTGGCCTTGGTGACCGGGAGGGTGAGAGCGAAGGGGTGACCTGGGTTTGGGGAAGGAAACAAGACTGTTGCCCGGGACACATTTGGTGTTTTTTTGTTTGTTTGTTTGTTTTTTGAGACAGAGTCTCACTTTGTCGCCCAGGCTAGAGTGAGTGCCGGGGTGTCAGCCTAGCTCACAGCAACCTCAAACTCCTGGGCTCAGGCGATCCTCTTGCCTCAGCCTCCTAGTAGCTGGGACTACAGGCATGCGCCACCATGCCCGGCTAATTTTTCTATATATATTAGTTGGCCAATTAATTTCTTTCTATTTATAGTAGAGACGG